AAAAGTCAATAAAAGTAATTGATCAATTTCTTATGGCTTAAGGCTTAAAACACCTATTGTAGATCCGGATTTATCGATAATTGTCGCTATCATTAACTAGCGACAGCCAATGGCGGTACAATCCTGGGAGAAAGAGCAGCTCTCATTGGTTGTCGCTAGTTAACAATAGTGACAATTATCGATAAAACGTTTAGAAAATCCCGCAACAGGCCTATTATGTAAATGATTACAGTGATGGGAGGTGACAAGAATTCGTCTGCTCTGGGAAACTTATGCGCATGCGTAAAATAACGTAGCAGCTCGATTCAATGGGCGCGTTCAAGTTAACAAAGCGGCTAGCCTCCTCGCCGAGTAAATGAACATAATTGGTTATTACTTATAGATCCAACCAATCATATTCAATCGCTCGATAAGCATGCCTAGCCGCTTTGCCGTCTTGAACTCGCCCAATGGCTGCGTTCAGCAGACTCAACAGTTTTGCAACCGTTTTATGATTGTCTGCTGAGATAGGACCATTCTTCTAGATCTAAAAGTATGATCCAATTAGCGCGAAGGAAACTTACAACAGTTGCAAAACAAACGTTCTGCTGAACGCACCCAATGGGTGGAACCAATGATGGAACCAAGAAGACTAGAACCAGGAGAGTCAACTCGTGCCAATAGCGGTAGTGGGGGTGAGGCAAAAAGTGGCGACGGATAACTTCCCCCACTCTTGCGCTTCATTAGTCCTCTCTGTCGCTCTATATAGTTGTCGCTCTATCGTTCTATAATCGTCACTTTGTCGCTCTTATATCGAACTTTCACACAATGCGCAGTGCCGCTGCACATCGTGTGAATAGCCGCGGACGTTTTTTGACTCACCCCCACCACGCGAGTTGATCCTCCTTAGTTCTAGTCTTCTTGGTGTCTGTCCTGAACTCAAGCGGTGAAATTATAAAGCTAAGCAGCGTTCCAACTACAAGTCGACATGTGGGGTAGAGCAACGCTTTTTTTTTTGCCAGATTCTTTCATGCAAAAACGCATTAAATAAGTCTAATTTCATTGATTTTTGAGGTAGGGAGAGGTTAAATTGAATAATTACCTTTTTCTATCAGATTCTTTCGTTTCACGCAGAAACGCATGATCAATGATGAGCCTAATTTTATTATAATCGAAGGTTAGGGTTGATTCTAAACAATTATCTTTAATTAATACATTTTAGTGGTGAATTTGCTTTGTTTTATATTTTTAGCAATGAATCCTATGCGATCGACAACTTTCCGGAGCGGTGAGGAATCAAGATCAACACGTAACGAAGATCACAATAGTTTAGCAGTTTTACGTTTAAGAATCGAAGAAAAGAAGCAGAGGCGCAGACGAGAATGGCAACGCCAGCAAGAGCGAGAGAGACAACATGAAAAATTGAAACAGCAAAAAATTTTAGAATATGAAAGGAAACGTGCACAAGCTTTAAAATATGCTGAGGAAAAATCCTCGCGTCACAGTCGAAGTAAAAGTGATAGTGAGTCTCCCTCGCATGTTCGGTACAGAGGTAGATCTACATCAACTGCTTCCAAATCTGGTAGCCTTCATGAAAAGTGAGTGTACGATATATACACAGGATACGGTCCATTTGGTCCTACAAATGCTTCGAAGTTTTTGATTGACCAATTGGAAGAAAGAATTTTACTAATTGACCAATCAAAAAATACTTCGAAACATTTGTAGCATCAGGTGGACCATAGCTACAATTATATACCTATATCTTTATTATAGTCCAAGCATTTATTGGTACTTAATAGAGATAAGGTGACTTGAAAATATCTGGAAAGAATATTTCAACGAAATGAATTAAAAAATTAAAAAAGGTAATTAGTATAAAACAATTAATTTGTAGAGAATATTACTTACACAATAGTAAAAATGTATTCATATATTAAAGCAGTTTTATTCCATCGTTTATTGAAGATTGTTTCGCCATTATTGGTTACTTATCACATAAACAGTGACACAGATGACAGTAATGATATTTTTTAAATAGTAAAAAGGATATAATATTTTATTGAGAAAATAGAAAAATAAGAATATTTTTTTAAATAAATTATCTATATGGCTCAATCAGAATAAATCAGTAGTAAAAAGAATGGGCTATGAGCCAATATTTTTTTTAACAAGAGCAAAAAAAGAGCAGAATTTTTTTAAAAAGATATATCTAGAATAGAACTATTTTCCTGAAAAAAGGATCTGGTTATTTTAACATAGTATAATAATTACAATTACTTTAACATATGATCAAATTCTCTTTAGATTAGATGGGTCTACAAGTGGAACAGTACCTTTATTCAGAGGTCCTCAGAATGCACAGATTGATACTTCGGAACTACGTAAAATTAGAATTGAAATTCATAGGAATATTCCTGTAACAGGATCTGTTATGGAATTAGAAAGAGATATACAATACTTAATCCTGTAGATGTGATCATCAAAAGAGGATGGAGTAAGATATTTTATTCTTCTAAAAATTTATATTTCTCCAAATCTCTTTGCTTTATAAAAATTCAGTTATTTAGCATTAACAAAGAAGAATATGTTTATAAATGTAAACATATAAGATTTAGAATTTGTTTTATTAAGCTTATATTTAAGTAAAAAGTTCTATGGATGGTTTATAAATAATTTTATAATAGCAGTAATTTATAGAATTGAGATTTTTTTTCATAAAAATATAAATATCTTCTATGTAAATATTTTTAATTCAGTATTTTTTTATTCCAAGAATTTAAATAAAATTAAGAATGATGCATATAAACTGAAAGAAATAATCTTGAAAGAAATTTCTGACAGATTTAACACATACTTCATATTTAGAAGTATCATTGAAAATAACATAGTTACTTGTGAGTTAATTTTAAAAAATTTATATTTTTGTATCAATTGTTTATACATATATATACATGAATAAGTATCTGTAGTATTCAAATAGCATTATATTGTGAATTGATGAAAGCTGCAATAGTACTGCGATTTAAAGAAAGTTCCAAAAATTTCATTTTATTGTAGAAGAAATATTATCTGCATTAACTTTTTTTTAATTATACGCTTATTTTTTAAATATATACATAAAATAATATACATAAAATTATATTTATCGTAGAATCATCATATTGGAAGATACATGTATTTTGAAATCATCTGGAAGATCTCATCGAGATTTTGTTTTTAGTACATGCGTAGGGAAAAGGGGGATAAGATGACGAAGTTGGTAAGGTAACGAATTGTTAATTTTTTAAAGATAATAATAGATGAAAAGCAGATGGTTAATTCATTAAAGGCTTTAGGTAATAATACACAATCTCTTATAGTTTGAATTCAATCCGACTACAAAAATAGATAATATATTAAGAAATGTGTTTTGGATGCATTCACTTGTAATTTTGCAGTATTTGTATGTAAGGAATGACATAATTAGAGTAAATAATTTCATTTTTTTTTAAATAAAATTGCAATATTGTATAACTAAAAGCAAATACAATAACATATTAATATTTTTTTATTTTTCACATTGCAATGGTTTTATTAATTAAATAAAAATATACGGTAACTGTGGATAACATGAATGTCGTGTATGGATAAGATGATGCTCTCATACAGGCAGATTGTAGGTTATGTAGTAAGTAGGTATATTTAATAAGTTAATGACGCAATTACTACATACATAAATATAATTATGTTAATGTTTTTTTTAACGTTTCAATAATTTTATTTTCATAAATTATATGAATGTTTTATTTTGTTTATATTTTTTTCTAAAACTTATAATATATTAAAACAATGTAAACATATTACGCATTTGAGGCTTCCACGGTTATCTTCTTCGATTATATTAGAGGATTTGCGGGTTATCACCGTGTCTTCTTTCATTATCGATGCCAACGTTTCGTGAACCATGCTGTTCACTTTATCAGGGCGAGGGGTGCACTGATA